GCTCCCGGTGCCGCTGCTGGCCCCGAGTGTCGGTGCCGGTGCCCGGGGGTGTCCCCGGCCGGGCGGGCCCGGCCTGCAGAGCCCGTGGCTGGTGAAGCGATTCCCGCGTGGCTCCGTGGCGCTTCCCCGGCTCGTGCAAAGCGGGATGGGGAAGGAGCGGTGGCGGTGGCAGCGGGGACGTGGTGGTCACCTCTTCCTGCCTTGCCAGTGGCGCAGCAGCCACTGGGTGACGAAGGGCCAGGTGGCCAGGAACAGCAGCGTGCGTGGGGACACGGCCAGGCGCCACGGGGACATCGCCTGGTGATGGGACAGAGAGAGGCGGCGTGGGGGACAAAGGTGTCACCAATGTCACCAAACACCCCCTCAGCCCTCTGCTGAAAGGAACCACTGCCACTGCTCAGTGGTCCTGGTCACATCCCTTCTCTGCAGATTGTGCATCGACACCGCCATCCCTGGGGCCGTGTCCCCACGGGTGTCACCTGCTCCCCAGCTGAACGTCCCTTCCCTGACCTCCTCCAGCTGTGTCCCCAGGCCATGGTGGGCTGTTGGGTGGGCAGGGGGACAGCAGGGCCACCCTGCAGCGCTTCCTCCACCGTCAACTCACCTGTGGAACAAATGCCAGACCGGGGTCTGTCCCAGCCGCGTCCCCCTACAAGACAGGAGAGGTTTTGGGGCGCAGGTGGGGATGACACCCCCCTTCCAGCCCCTGTGTCCCTGTGAGAGGGAGGAAATGGCCTGGAAAGACCATGCAGGGATCCAGGTGGTGCAGCTGGGCAGGACCCCAGAGGCAGCGGGAATGAGGGGAGCAGTGGGAATAAACAGGGAAATGGGAATGAGGGGAGCAGTGGGAATAAACAGGGAAATGGGAATAAACAGGGAAATGGGAATGAGGGGAGCAGTGGGAATAAACAGGGCAGTGGGAATGAGGGGAGCAGTGGGAATAAACAGGGCAGTGGGAATGAGGGAGGCAGTGGGAATAAACAGGGCAGTGGGAATGAGGGAGGCAGTGGCAGGGACGGGCAGCAGCTCCCTGCCAGCACCGTGGGCCAGACCAGGGCAGCACCAGCCTCGGCCCCACCAGGACGTGTCACCAACCACTGCAGGGGTCCCCACACCTGGGCCAGTTCTGTCCCAGGGCTCGGAGCTGAGCCCGGCTGGCCCAGCCCTGCCCCCAGCCCAGCCCAGCCCGTACCTGGGCAGTGCTGAGCGTCTCCAGCCGGCTCAGCCGCTCCTGCACTCGCCACAGCTCCTCCTGCAGTGCCTGCACCGTGCTGGCCACGCGGGCCTCCAGCTCTGCTGCCAGCCCCGGGGTGAGCCCGGGGTCCCCCCCGGCCAGCCGGACACCTGTGGGCACAGGGATGGGCACAGGGATGGGCACAGGGATGGGCACAGGGATGGGCACACGGCTGCCAGGGCAGGCTAGCACTGCCCGAGGAGCCCTGGGGTTGCCACTGCCCACCCCGTGCTGTCACCCACTGGTGAGCAGCGGCTCCCACAGGGCTCCTGCCGTGGGCTGCCCACGCCACAGCCGCTCCCAGCCCAGCCTGGCAGCCCAGCAACACCCACGCTGTCCCCAGGGCCATGCACTGCTGTGTCCCTTCAGTGCCGTGCTGGTGGCAGTGGGAGGCCAGCCCACCAACAGGGTGGCTGCTGTGGTGTGTGTGGGTCGCCTTGTGACACCTGGTGAAGGTGCCACCACCAGGCAGGACACACAGGGCCAGGACAGCTCCTCCCTGCTCTCCCCCAGCCCCAGCAAAGGCCCCAAACCAGCCTGGCAAACACCTGGCTAATCCAGGCTGTGAGCAGATCACGGGCAGGGACTCGCTGCCAGGCCCTGGGGACAGCCCAGCCTGGCCCCATCGGCCTCGGGACAAGTTCAGTGCCAAGGTCAAGCAGCCCGGAAGGGAACAGGAACAGGGGAAAGGGTGAGACACGTGGGCTGTGCCCAGGTGAGGCAATGGCTCCAGTTCCACAGTGAGGGTGGCAATGGCACCCCAGGGCAGCCCAGAATATCTGGTGACAGCACAGAGGGGGCAGGAGGCTCCTCCCTGCTGTGGCACACCTCGAGGCCTGGTGGTCCCCAGATACCAGCAGCAGTGCTGGGTGGCATCAGGTGAGTGGCACTGCTGTCCCCAAGGCTTCCAGAGCACAGGGCCCAGCTTCACCGTCTGCCCTCCTGGGCCAGGCTCACCCCTGGCACCACCCCCATCCAAAGGCACCGCTGATGTGGTTGGAGCAGGGACAGGAGCCAGGGGCTGCATTCCCTGCCTGGCTGCTGAAGAGCCAGCAGAGCATCCTCCTCATTTAAGCAAATTAGTACCAGTGCAAGAAATGGGCAAAGGAAAAGCTGCATCCCTAAGGGACTAAAGCCACTGAACTGCTTGGGGACCAAGGAATGCAGAGACAGGACACTTGTGACTTCCTTCAGCTACTGATGAGCCAACTGCAGGTGCTGGAGCCAAACTCGGTTCTCTGGGGGTGGTGGCAGCCCCCACGCCCCCAGGCCAGCCCATGGGAGGTGGGGCAGCAGCAGGAAGGCACGCAGGGACCAGCTCTGCACCCACCTCTCTCGGAGCCCAGGGCTGTGAGGTCGGTGCTGCTGCTCCCCTTGACTCTTCTGCCTTCATCCCGTTGGCCCTGCCCAGCACTGTGGGGCACTGGGGGCTCAGCCCCAGCCTGGACCCTGTTTGGGGTGAGCCCCCGCACCTGCCCGGCCTATGAGATGGGAGAGAAGGGCCCTGAGACCCCTGCTCCCCTCCCCAGGGCAGTGAGGGGGGTGCAGGGCACCAGTGGAGTCCCTCTCTGTCCTCTGGTGGCATTTTTGGGGGTGGAGGGTGCATGTGACCGAATGAAGCTCAGTCCCAGAGGTAACACCAGCCAACACCTGGCTTGGGAGGCAACACCTGAGGGGAGTGAGGTCCCCAGACTTGAGGTGGCAAAAGAGGGGGGGGGTCTTCCTTCCTCCTTCCACCAGGCCTCACCACGGCACCTCAAGTGCCAACTGTGGCCTGTGGCAGCAGGGAGAAGTGGCAGGGGAACAATCCAGGTGGTGTCACCCATGTGGAGCTGCTGGCTGTGCCCAGCCCCAAGAGCCCCCAGAACCCCACCAGAGCTGCACCACAGGAATGGGGGCTGGGGAGGCTCCTCAGGATCCCCTCTGCGATAGGGACCAGGCTCCAGGAGCGACAGAAAGCACAGAGAGGTGCAGGAGGGCATCCCTGTAGGTTCTGTGAGGCTCCCAGGCTGGTGGTGCTGTGCAGAGAGGGCAGAGCAGGGATGGCAAAACCTCCAGCGCTTCCTCCGTTACCTTCTCAGGCTCCATCTGCTCCAGGGTGTCACAGAACGTGTCCCCCTCTGAGTCACTTGTCACCTGGCTCACCTCGAGCACCTCGGGGGCAGGAGCCAGCCCAGCTCCTGGAAGAGAAGCACAGGGCTGAGTCCCAGGCAGGGCAGGGTCTATGTCCGGAGGGCAGCAGGTGGGACAAGGGATGTGTGTGCCCAGGGGGAGGCAGCAGAGGGAAACTGAGGCACTGCAGGGGCAGGAGCAGCTCTGTTAATGTGGCCCAGATCACGGCCATGAATCCAAGGACTGAATTCCCCCTTCTGCCACCCATGATGTCCCATTGGTGCCATACCCGCGGCCCTGGGGCAGCAGCGGCACAGGCAGGGAAACTGCCCAGCTCCCTGGAGTGCTGCCAGCCCCAGCACTCCAGGCTGCCAGGCTGGGACACCGGCACTCGCTCTGTGACCATATTTGCTCCTGGGGGAAGGCTGGAGCGGGAGGAGGAACCTCCCTGCAGCACCCTGTGAATCCCAGTGCCAGGGAAGCAGCAAACGTGGCTTGAGCCGAGGGAGAACATCCTCTCATGCATCACGGACCTTCCAGGGCGGTATTTTCCCAGTTTAGCAGGGTCAGGCCCCCTTGCACAGGCAGGAGTGAGGCAGAGCCAACCTCACATGTCCAGGGTTACCCCAGTGAGAGCTGGACCCACAAACAGCCCCGTGGCGTGGGCAGTGCCTGGAACAGCGGCAGGGCTGGAGCAGAGGGGCCTGAAGCCAACAGTTCTGTGGGTGGATGGAGCCCCAGCCCCAGTGCCTGCTCCATGAGGTCTCTGCACCAGGGACACCAACCTGGCGTGTGCTGCCCGTCCTGCTGCTCCCCAGGCATGGTGTCCCTGGGGCTCTCCAGAGCTGGGCTGCTCGCTGGGACATCCTGGCTGGGCCCATCCCGACACCCCTGTCTCTCTGCACGGAGGGAAGAGGCAGAGCAGGGTCATTCTGTGGGGTCAGTCGTGTTCTCCTTGCAGTGCTGGCTCCCCGTGCCCTGCCAGCACAGCTGGGGGACACGCAGATGGCAGGGACCAGCCTGGGACCAGCAGCTGGCAGGGAAGGAGAGGAGCCAGCTCGGTTTGCTGACAGCCCAGGAATCCATGTGGCTTTACCCTGTGCAGACCACCTCACTCACCCAGGGGAGGCTGGGGTGTCCCCGTCCCCGAGCCCCTGTGGCAGCAGACACACAGTGACAGTGACACTGTGGTGAGTGACAGTGACAGTCCTGTCCCCTGGCAGTGCCCATGACACACCCACAGTAACAAGGAGCCCAATGCAAGAAGTGCTGGCTGGAAGAGCCTCGTGTGGGCAGCAGCACCCCAAGGACGTGGGGCAGCAGCAGCCTGTGTAACCCAGCCCTTCCCCGTGGAGCCCTCACAGTTACTCCCAGCCAGATTTCCAGCAGCCCCGGGACTTTGCTCCCTGCTCTGGGCAGGCAGGCGTGTGCCAACGCTGCCTGCACCTCTCTGCTGTCCCCAACCTGCCTGTGGCATCACAGGGGACCCACTGAGGGGAACAAGGCAGCTGCAGCCCACACAGGGGTAGTGCCAGGGCTGCCCTGCTCTGGGATCCTCCCCATTCCCAAATCCTCCTCGGGGTGTGCTGCCAGAGGAGGGTGCAGGCAGCATCCTGCCTCCTCACACAGCACCAGGACACACCTGGCTCCAGCCAGCCACGTTCACAAGACTGGTGAAAGCACTGGAGACCTGTTGGGACCTGGAACCATCCATGATTTGGGTTCCAAGTGCTGCTTTATCATGTCTTGTCTTTGTAAATAAACAAAAACAAAGCTACCCAGACTCCCAGCTGTGTGCCCAAAGCCGCCAGAGGCACCTGCCACGCTCCACACTCTGAAATCCCCTTTCTGCTCCAGTTAGGAGCAACCAAAGCTGTGATTGCAGTGTCTGAAGGCGGGCTGGGGAACCTTTAACACAAATGACTCAACATCTTCCAGAGCTCAGTGCTTTGCACCTCAGTTGCAGCCACCTGGGGCTCCTTCACCCCACAGAGCCGCCAGGTTCAGATTTAAGTGACAGTGTCACCTGTAAGTGACATTCCCAACTGGATAATAACCAATTTAGACACAGCTTTTAAATTTCAGAGAAAAACTAAGTCTGCCTTTTAAAGGGATTCAGCATCAAAATGGAGAACAAAGCAGCCGGGTACCACGGGAAGGAGCGGCCACCCTGGGGCCAAGCCTTACAGAAACTGCTTCTGGCATCCCTGTTGGGAGCAGGGGGTGACAGGCACGGGACAGATGGCCCAGGACTGAATCTGTTTGCCAGGGCTCTCCCAAACCACTGACAGGTCACACTCGCTGTGAATAAGCCCCAGAAGCTGCTGCTGAGCTGATCTGCTGGCGGTGCCTTGCTGACCCCCTCGCTGCCCTGGCTGCTCCTCAGCACTCAGACATAGCAGGAGCGCCCTGCACTGGGGGTGGCACAGGTCCCCAGCCCCTCCCGGCACGAGGTGGCAGCCAGAGGCACGGAAAGGGCTGGGCAGGGTTCTCCTCTAGCACAAACCCGTCCAAACAATGCCATTTCTCAAGCCCTGTTTCTCCACATCCCCTCCGTGCAGGAGCTGTCCAGATGTTTACAGCAGCCAAGGGAAGCACTATGGACACTAAATCTAAACCACAGTGCCTGTACAAATTGCAGGCCGCATGGCTCCTCAGGCTGCCTGAGAAAGTATCCTAGGAAAAATATGAGAAGGAATTAAAACAATCCTCAGGGACACTAAACAGCCTTGCAGGTGTTGTTTTGCAGCCTCTTGTGTTTACCTTGCAGGAGAGAGTCAGGGGGGCAGAGTGCCCCTGACCAATGATGGTGATGAAGCACTTTGCTAACCAATAAGAGTTTCCTTTCTGTACTTTCCACGGATCTGTCTATAAGACAGAGCTGAAGCAATAAACTGGGGAATTCTCGTGTTGTGACTCCCTTGAGAGTCCCGTGTCGTTCTTTCTAGCCGTTCCCAATCGGAGCGACAAAGCACAGCCTCGCCAGGAGCTGATCCCTGCCCCACCACACACAGGGACTGCGGCCAAGGGCAGATCTCCAATTCTCGCCTCAAAGTTTCGCGGAGAGAAAGCCCAGAATGTGTCCCACACACGAGTGTCCCACAGAGGGACACGGCTGTGCCCAAAGAGCCCCTCGGCAGCGGCAGTGTCCCGCCAGGGCCGGTGGCATGAGGTGTGTCCACGCCGTGTCCCCTCAGGGAGCGGCACCGGGACGGGCCCTGGGGACGAACCGGACCCGGAGGCGGTGCCGGGGACACCGAGGGCAGGGATGCGGCCCCCACTCACCCCCTCTGCTCTTGAAGAAGGACTCGGGGGGCCGGGGCATGTCGTGGATGACCTCGTAGAGCGGCTCGAAGTAGCGGAACATCTCCTCCGTGGTCTCGTCCATGGGCACGGTGTCAATGACCTGCGGAGGGCCGCGGCTGGACACGGGC